CTACTACTACTACTACTACTACTACTACTACTACTACTGCTGCTACTACTACTACTACTACTACCACTACTTACTACTACTACTACTACTACTACTACTACTACTACTACTACTACTACTACTACTACTACTACTACTACTACTACTACTACTACTACTACTACTACTACTACTACTACTACTACTACTACTACTACTACTACTACTACTACTACTACTACTACTACTACTACTACTACTACTACTACTACTGCTCTTCCTCCTCCTCATCATCCTCATCATCATCAGCATCATCATTATCGTCATCGTCATCGTCATCGTCATCATCATCGTCGCCATCAGCATCAGCAGCATCATCATCATCATCATCATCATCATCATCATCATCATCATCATCATGATCATCATCATATCATCATTCACCTCCTTCTCCTTCTCCTGCTCCTCATGCTCCTTCTCCTGGTCCTCCTGCTGCAGCTCGTTTTGACACCCATGCGAGCGGAAAGCCGACTCGGGTCAGTTGGCCCGACGGCGATTCACGGCGCACCCACAGCTGAAAGCCGACGCCAAAGTGGAAGTACACAGGAAAATGGGAAGGGCCTACCTTGCAGGTCTGGTTGGCAGCACATCGCTGAGCGGTGCTGCAACCTCCCCTGAGCACACGCCCCCCCGAAAGCCATAGCCAGACAAGTCGGGTTGGCACCCTCATGGCGTACTGGACTCCTGGGCGCGCTGCAGCACTGCCACTGCCGCCGCCACCCCACCCGTCGGGGCTGCCGACTCGGGCCCCCGCGAGAGGGAGAGGGGGGCTTTCAGGTTCGCCGCGCGTGAGGGCCCAAATCTCAGACGAGGTGTTGTTTCGGCGTTTTTCTGAATGGATTTTGGAATTTGGGCGCAGTTCTGCAGCCTAGATGGATGTTGTGATTTTTTGGATTTTCTAAATGGATTTTCTAAACGGATTTTGGAATTTGGGTGCAGCTCTGTAGCCCTATGGGGCCACCACACACGGACCCGGGACGAAAACGGACCTTCGGGGACCCCTCCGGGGCCGCGGCCTGAAGAAGTCGCGTGCGTCGGCGGCGGTCAGGGAGGGAGTCGTCGCCGGGCCGTCGCCATGAAGCAAATGTGCCCCGAGGGGAAGCGGGGCGGGTCCTGAGAGGCTTTCTGCGCGCTTGGCCTGTCGGGGCCCTCCGCGTGTTGGCCTGTCGGGGCCCTGAGGCTTTCTGCGCGCTTGGCCTGCCGGGGCCCTCCGCGCGTTGGCCTGTCGGGGCCCTGAGGCTTTCTGCGCGCGCTTGGCCTGCCGGGGCCCTCCGCGGGCCTGTCGGGACTGTCAGGAAGGAGCTCGGGGCGGGAAATTCCATCCCCGGGGAAGGCTCCACGGTCCAGGACCCGTTGCTCTCGGGACGCATCTGATTCAGGAGGAGGAGGAGGAGGAGGATTAGGACGAGGAGGACGAGGAGGACGAGGAGGAGGAGGAGGAGCAGGAGCAGGAGCAGCAGCAGCAGGAGGAGGAGGAGAAGGAAGGTGGAGGGAGGAGGAGGAGGAGGAGGAGGAGGAGGAGGAAGGAGGAGGAGGAGGAGGAGGAAGGAGGAGGAGGAGTGTTTTTGTGTGCGCGCGGCTCTCGCGGGGCACCGGCATGCAGGCCGCTGCTGTCGCCTCGTTTGCCGCAGCAGCGGCCAGCACGCCGCGCACCGGCCGCCACTCCTTCCTGCAGCCATGGCCCCCCTTTGGCATCGCTCGGACGTGTGCATTTTTTCTCGGCGAGAACCATCGAGGACCATCCTGGACTATCGAGCAAAAAAACACCAAAACCGAAAAAAAAAAAAAAAAAAAAAAAAAAAAAAAACGAAACCGAAAAGTGCGCGGGACATGGACGTCCCGGCGACGGCAAAGACCTTGTCGTGTGGCCGACGGGGGGGCAGGCGGGCCGCAGGGGGAGGTGTTGCTCGCCGTCGCCAGCGGGGGGCGAGGAGGCAGAGGGGGCCGCCACGAGGGAGACGCTTCCCGAGACGCTTCCCGAGGGAAGCGGGCCCTGGAGGGCTTCCGCCGCCCCTCGGCGGGGAGTGGGGAGGCAGAGGCGGTCGCCCTGAAGGAGAGAGCGAGAGAGAGAGAGAGAAGCGGGTCCGGCAGGCCTCTTTGTGGCCCCGTGACCGTCGGGGAGCAGTGGAGGAGGGAGGGCTGGCCTTGGAGGGAGGCCCCAAGGGTCCAGGGCCCGTTTCCCGGTCCGGGGCCCGTTTCCTTCGGGGCCCTTCGCCCTCACGGTGCGCAAGGGGCGGCAGAGGGGAGGAGGACCCCCGGCCCCCACGTGTCCCGAAGAAAGAGTCACAGGGCGGCGCGCAGCTCTTCCGTGCCGAGGAACCGTCAAGGGTCGCGGTCCGGGACGAGGGCACGCAAAAAGGGAGGGGGTCGAGAGGCTTGGGGGCTTGCGCCGTGGCCAGAGCACGACGTGAGGGTCGTGGGGAGGGGAGGGGAGGGGCAAGATGAGGGCCAGGACGACGAGTAGGAGCAGGAGGTGGAGGAGGATTTGGTAGGAATTTCTGCTCTTCTTTCTCTGTTCCTTTCGGTTGTTGCTCGGCCCATGCAGGGGAAACAAAACGAGGGCTAGGACGATGAGAAGGAGTAGGAGTTGGAGGAGGAGGGGGGCATAAGGAGTGGGGACGATGCGGAGGGTTGGGCCAGAGAGGGAAAGGAGCGAAGAGGAGGGAGAAAGAGGAAAGAGGTAGCGATAAGAGAAGAAAGGGAAGGAAGAGGAGCAAGGGAGAGAGGAGGGAGGGAGGAGAAACACGGAGGGTGTTCTGCTGCAGCGTACACCGTGGAGGCATGCATGCAGCGGGATGGTGCCCTTACGACAATTGTTCTCGCCATGGGCGGGATTTCATAAACAGCCTTGTTTCGTTTTCCTCTGCGGAGGCGATTGCTTTGGAGGAATGTGCGTCATGTGCCAGGCGGCCGGTTGAAATTGGTTCACATATCAAGCGCAGGAGACTTCAAATTCGATTTGACGACCTCATTCGTCTGCCAGCGCCAGAGGCGCTTGAGGCTGTGCCGGAATAAGAAAGAAAGGAAAAACATTAAAGGATGAAGGAAGGAGGCTGTGGCAGCGAGGAGGGAGGACGGAGGAGGAGGAGGAAGAGGAGGAGGAGGACGAGGAGGAGGAGGGAGAGTGGGGAGGGAGGGAGAGTGGGGAGGAAGCGACATGGCAGGCAGGCGTTCCAGGCGCGCGCGGATCCTCTGTCGAGGAAGCGAGGGGGTGACCTCTCTCCCCTGTCGGTGGAAGGTCGGCGGGAGCCTCCAGGAGTAAGGCGAGGTTGGTTTCGCCCGAGGGAGAGGGGTGGATGGTTCGCAGACGTTTGGCGGAAGTGAGAGCACCTCCCTCCGAGAGAGGACAACACACCGTTGCCATCCTGAGCTCCAGAGCCCGCCCGTGTATGCAGAGCCGTGCGGCGTTTGGCGCGCCTTAGTCGGGGGTGGCCAGAACCCCCAACAGTGACACGTCGATTAGTGAATCGTCCGTCTTCGGTTCTCGGGAGGGCGTCGTGGCCCTTATTTTCCAGGCCTGCGCCCGCCAGGTTTGGGCCTCAGGTCGTTTTCACTAAACCACGTTTTGCTAAAGGGGGGTCTGTCCATCCCCGACTTGGGGACCTCCCTCCTTCTCCCCTCCTCAGGGGCCATTTCGATCCGGTCGACCCGGCTCGATATCGATGTCCGCCGGCCCCCTCCGGCTCGACCCGATGTGCGGTCGAACCGCGCACGAAATCGGAAAATACCTGGGAAATGGACGTCCGAACGATGTCAAGAGGCGGGGGTACGGTAGGTTTGCGTCGTGTCGACCAGCGGCGACCCCAGCGCGGGCGTTCAAGGTTGAACGCCGCCGGCGACCCAGAATCGATCGATGTTGAACGATCGGACGTTGCGGTAGCGGCCGATCGTTCAAGGTTGAACGATCCCTGCGGTGTCAAAAACCAACGCTGGGGTCGGCACGACACGAACCTGCCGTAGGTGTTCGCTGGTTCTCGGAGGGTTTCTCGCCTCGGGAGGCTTTTTTCCTGGCAGCTGCCTCCCCGTCGAGAGCGTGCCAGGGCTGCCCCGATCTCGCTCCGAGAGCGGCCGCCTTTGGGCCCGAGCTGCCGCCCGGGAGCCACCGAGGGGGCGGAGAGGGGCCGGAGGACCAAAAGGGCTCGGCATCGCTCGGAGGTGTGCATATTTTTTTCTCGGCGAGGACCATCGAGGAGCCTCCTTGATCATTTGGCGAAAACACCGCGCACGAAACCGGAAAAAAAACACAGGAAGTGGACGTCCGAGCGGTGGCCAGAGGGGGTGCGGATGTCACGGCAGTGGCCATGACATCTCCCAGGTGTCCTGTGGCCTTGTAGCATTCTTCGTTCCCCTAGAGCAGGTGAAGTGGGGGAGCGGTGAGGTATAGATGAGGGGGGGAGCCATCCTTGCCACACCCAGGCGCTGCAGCATTCTCTTGAATCTCTGCTGGTCCCAACTGTCTTGCATATCTTGGTTCTCGCCGACGCGCGCTGCTGCGGTGCCAGGGTCTGACCTTTATTTTATCGAACTTGCTTGTTTGCAAGAACGCTACAGTCCGAGGCCTCAAGTTAGCGCAACGTCACGAAGGAGGAGCAGCAGGAGGAGCGCGTGAGACCTGGGTAACCAAAGACGCTGATCTGATGGGCCCAGAGGGTAGAGCCCCTTCTCCTCTGATCGATGGCCTACCTGGACGACCCTTAAGGCCCTCCGAGGCTCCTGGCCCCCTCATCTGCACGCGCATGCCCCGGGACACGAGTCTCCGAGCGCGCTCCACTACTCGCAGAGTGCCTACTCGCAAACTTCCCGAAAACACATGTCTGCCTTGATGCATTTTATCGTAGATCCCCCGTGGCGGATCCAGGCCACTTGCGAGCAGCTGGTTTGCGAGTAGTGGAACGCGCTCGTCTAAGGAGGCAGAGTTCTCCCTCGTCGTGACCCTCCCTCTTCGGCGGACCCGCCGTGCCTCGCGGAGGGGCGAGAGGAGTCCTCCGCGTCTGCTTCTGAGTTTGGGCCTCCCGGCGCTTTTTGGGGGGCGGTCCCGCGGCGAAGTTGTGACGGGCCAGTTTCGGGCGAGCTCTTTGCAGCGGGAGCTCGCGCCAATTCTCAGAGTACGTCCCGCCATGTTTCTGATGGCCCTGGCATCGCTTGGACGTGTGCATTTTTCCTTCGGCGAGGGCCATCGAGGAACGTCCTTGATCATCTGGCGAAAAAACCACGCACGAAACCGAAAAAAAAACACAGGGAATGGACGTCCGAGCGATGGCCAGTGGCCCCGTCAGGCCAATCCGAGCCCCCCAATCTCGAGTTTGATTGCGTCTCTCGGACGCTTCTCCTGGCCGGGCTAACGGCGGGGTTGGTGAACAGCGTGTTCTTGATAGTGATTGTCGCGGCAGGCCGCAATCTCAAAAGGTAGTTGGCTGAACGGAAAGCTTCCATCTGCGGAAGCACAGGCAAATTCACAGACCGACTCCGCTCATATTATGTTACATCGGACCACGCCGTTGCGGGCCACTCTGTTTGATCACCTCTGGTCAACATTATGGCATTTGTCCTCCTCCTCCTCCGCCTCCTCCTCCTCCTACAGCAGGCCCTCGAAGCGAAGTGACAGATCATCCATATTATATGAGCTAGATCCCGAATACGACTAGATAAGCGCAGCGAAAGCTCGTGTGGGGTCGACTGGTTCGTTCGTTCCTCCTCCTCCTCCTCCTCCCCCTCCTCCTCCTCCTCTTCCTCCTCCCCCTCCTCCTCCTCCCCATCCTTCTCCTCCTCTTCTTTCGGCTGTAGACTTCGGGTGCTCCCCGCCTCCCACGTTGCGAGGCAGCGGCGGCCGACAGATTCGCACTGGTGCAGTCGGCCTCCAGCGGCCCCAAAGCGGGCAGGCCTATGGCACGAACGATGGCCGTGATTCGCTCCACCTGATCAAGGCTGTTGCTGCTGAAATTGCTCCCAAGGCGAGGCGGGCCTATCTCTTCCTCCTCTTCCTCCTCCTCCTCCTCCTCCTCCTCCTCCTCCTCCTCCGCCTCTTTCTCCTCTTCCTCTTCCTCCTCTTCCTCCTCCTCATCCTCCTCCTCCTTCTCCTTTTCTCCCCATTCCTATTCCCTCCTCTTCATCATCATCATCATCATCATCATCATCATCATCATCATCATCATCATCATCATCATCATCATCATCATCATCATCATCATCATCATCATTATCATCCCTGCGCCTGGATCCGCGTGTCGTCGTCTTTCGCTGGAAGGCCTCCCGTCCAGGCGCGCCCCGATTACCCCGCGCGCGAGCAGGCGATTCTGGCTGGATCTCGGTGGACAGCCACGTATCTATTTGGCGCCTGGGGGGCCAAGGAGGAGGGGGCGAGAAGGAGGTGGAGGACAGGAAAGGGGGGGGGAGGAGATACTGAGGGAAACGGTCTTTGGGAAAAAAACAGCTTAGCATAAGCCTCACACCGCTGTACGGCTCATAAGCACGTGCACCCAATCTGACCGGTATTGTGATGTTTTATTGGGCCGCAATGCGCAGCCAGTATGAAAGGGCACCCATCCTTCTCTCACCACCTAGTTCATTGCCACAACGGATCCATCAGAACTTGTTAGCGGTTTTCCGATGGGGAGACGGAGGAGGAGGAGGAGGACATGAAGGAGGTTTGTCATCGCATGGCGAGGGCGCATTATGATCGCGAATCCGATGTAGGCGACACAAAGTTGAAAACAGTCGGCCGCGTTTCAGTCGTATTTGACCGCAGGTCCAGATGAGCCGCGGCTGGTATAGTGGTGAAGTTGGTTGACGAAAGTCGAAGGAATGATCCAGCGCTGCCGTAGAATTTTTCGGCTGGCCCACTGGAGAGAAGATATAGTTGGATGCTCCTTGCATCGTTCACAAAATTCCGCGCGGGCAGGAACATGAGAAGAAGTTGTGGTGTCTTGTGGTCGTGTTCTTCTTTGTAGTTTCTAAGAAAGGTGTTTGTCGGCCGACATAGCTCCAGACGAAGCACCAGCGGCGAGCCACATCACGAGCGAGCACAAACTAGGACCGAGCGCAGCGCAGGCGAACGATCACATCGCGAACGAACATCGCAGCACGGGCGACACATGCTGCGAGTGCTATTTCGCGAAGAGGCGCGAACGTCCACGGCAAGTGCACGAGGTTGAGCAGCGAGGGGGCAGAGCGACATTGACCTTGATCAGGAGTATCACATCGATATTCTTGACCGTTCAGGCGACATCGGCACTCCAGGTGGCAGTCAGTCGGTCAGTCCTCCTACTCCTCCTCCTCCTCCTCCTCCTCCTCCTCCTCCTCCTCCTCCTCCTCCTCCTCCTCCCCCTCCTCCTCCTCCTCCTCCTCCTCCTCCTCCTCCTCCTCCTCCTCCTCCCCTGTTCTCTCTCATCTCCTCCCCATCCACACCCTCCCTCACACCCCACATTTCTCAGAGCTGCAGGGGGCGGGGTAGAGAACGAGGCGAGGATGATCAGCCAGGGCAGGATTCAGAGGAGCGTGCGGGGTGAAGAGCACGAGGAGAGGCTGGAGGAGATGGCCAAAAAAGAGAATGGAGAGGAAAAGAGGAGGAGGCAGCTCCCCACCGTGCACTCCCGCAATCTGCCCGGGGCTTCAGAGCGTAGGAGGCCCGCCCGCTCGCCCCTGCCATGCTGGTGCGGATAGACCGCTTGCGCTGTCGAGCCTCACGAGTTTTCCCAAGCACGTTTATCGCAAGGGCGGGAGGGGCTCCTTTCAGCCCCCCCTCCCTCGAGACCAAGGCGTCCTCCTCAGGGTACATTTCGACCCAATCGATCCGTTTCGATATCGGTTTCAGCCAGCCCGATCCGATTCGATTCTGGTATTCTGGCGGTCCGATGCGGCCCGATTGTTGTGCTTCGTGGCGCAGCCGATCCGATTGGATGTTGAATATGTGCCGATGCAGCCCGATCCGACGCCCCATTCCGATTCGATCTGGGTTCCCCAGTCGATGCTGATTGATCTTACCCCTTCTCCACTTCTCCAAAGCCGCTGGGCCGGCAGAGGAGGATGCCGAGGCGTCGCTCAGCCCCCTGCCGGCCCAACGGCCCCACCCTGCTCCAACAGGCAATTCTTCGCTCTCCAGGCGCAATGCGAGTTGCTCCCGATGTTTGGGTCAGTGGCTGTCTGCCCGCAGGCTCGTGGAAGCTTCAGGCGACCCTGGTTTAGAGTCAAGGACCTCCCCTTGAAAGTCATAGGAGGCCCCAGATCGCCCCAACAGGGCCCCACGACCCCCCCCCCCCAGGGAGCCTCAAGAGAGTCCCAACCGAGAGGGCCAGCGGCCTCACCCTGGTTCATCCTCTGGCGCGCAACGGTCGTTGCCCGGGCCAGACCCTCCCCCCGCCCCCCTCGGGCGCAGTCAACCCGCGCAGTCAGAATGGGCAGCTTTCCAAAAGGTACCCTTGCATCCTTGCCTCCTCGGCCCATCCTTGGCCAGTATCGCTGGCCGCGCACCGCTCGCAAAGCTTCGAAACGGCCTTCCAAGGCCCTTGCATCCTTTGTATCCTTATCGTGCGTCCTTATGATACGGGTTGACTGTAGCGGTAGCGATCGTACGCAGGGGGAAGGGGAATTTGGCGCCTTCCCCCGCGTGCCGGTGCTCGCGCGCATATTCTGGCGATCGCTGCGCGCCCCCGCCCCGAGGTGCCCCACCTCCTCCCCCTCCTCCTCCTCCTCCTCCTCCTCCTCCTCCTCCTCCTCCTCCTCCTCCCTCCTCCTCCTCCTCCTCCTCCTCCTCCTCCTCCCCCCTCCTCCTCCCCCCTCCTCCTCCTCCTCCTCCTCCTCCTCCTCCTCCTCCTCCTCCTCCTCCTCCTCCTCCTCCCTCCTCCTCTCCTCCTCCCTCCTCCTCCTCCGCCCGAACGTCGCCGTTGCCCAAGGGGCCCCACCCTTCCCCCCGCCACCCCTGCGCAGTGACCGTTACTGGAAATTGCCTCACAGGAGCTGGGCTGCTCGCCCCCCTCGTCGCCCCCGACGCGCCCCCGGACGCAGGTGCCCCACCTCCTCCTCCTCCTCCCCCTCCTCCCCTCCTCCTCCTCTCCTCCTCCTCCTTCCTCCTCCTCCTTCCCTCTCCTCCTCCTCCTCCTCCTCCTCCTCCTCCTCCTCCTCCTCCTCCTCCTCCTCCTCCTCCTCTGCCCCCGGACGCAGGTGCACCACCCACAGGTGCAAGAGGGGCACCGACCTGACGGACGAGTCCGGCGAGGTGCGCGCGAGCGGGGGGCTGGAGCCAGCCATTGCAGGGCATGGAAGCGATCAGAAGAGCAGTCAAAACACCAGCTCCATGGGAGAGCTGTTTATCGTCGACTCGACGCCGGGGCTCACATTCGAGCGGCGCAGAGAAACGGGGTCGTCTGCACGGACATTGTCGCGTAAGCTGCCCCGCGGAAGGTCGCGCGTAAGCGCCTTCGTTTCCAGTGTACCGTTCCGCGCGGGCGGCCTGCGTAAGCCACCGCGTAAGGTCGCTATGGCACCTCGCGTGAGACCTGATTATTTCCATCGCTCATATGTGCATCTCAGTTCCTAGCATTCCCGCCTGTGAGCGTATGTGTAAAAGAATCTTAGCCTGGCGGCTCCCCTGGCTATGCCTGGTCTTGGGGCTCTGAGAAGAGAGGGGTCGGGGGTGCAAAAGCCAGCGCCTCGCATGAGAGGTCCCCACCATCTGGGCGCAAGCTGGCAAGTGCAGTGCCCCTTAGACCACGCCTGCTGCACCGCGGTGAGCACGGGGCTCTCTCCAAAGAGAGAGGAGCCCGAGGCGCCGAAACGGGCGGACCGCCCGAGACACCCCCACAATCTGGGCGCAAACGGGCAAGGGTCATACAGTCGGAGCCCTGAAGAAGGAACCCTTTTCGTTGGGGAGGGGCTCCGCGTTCCTTAAGTGTTTCGCAGCTTGCCTCAGGTTTTCCTTAGGTTTTCGATATGAAGTCGAAGTTTAACTTGTAGAAAAAAAGGGGCCTCGTTCCTTATTCAGGGTTCCTTAGGTCAAGGCCCCGACTGTACCCCCTGGCGGCTCTCCATGAGGGTGCTCAAATACAGTGCCTGCTGCACCGCGGTGATCACGGAACTCACAAGAGAGAAGAGTCCGAGGCGCCGAAGCAGAGGCGAAGCGTGGGCGAAGAATCGGGGGCGTCACATTCAAGATTGTCGTCTCCTCTCCCTTCCGCCTTTCTTCTTATCGCGCTGGTGCCTGGCGCCCGACGGCCAGCCCCGAGCCTGGAACTGAGACGCACGTGCTGTCGCCAGCATGCGCGAGGCGTCTCCCCTGGAGGGCCTGGAGGTGCCTCGAGGGAAGCGTGCCCTCGATGGCTGCCTGGGCGCGACGAGCGCGCCCGCGAGGGGCGCTCGCACGACCTGCCTCTGCGTCTACCGCGCACGCCCGCGGCACTCGCAGCACCCCCCGGCCCGCCCGCGCCCTCTCCCTCTCCGAGCCGCAGGCCCCGCACGCGGGCCCTCTTCGCAGAGCGCGTCCCCGGGTGCTGCTGGTCCGCCGCGGTCCGCTTGGCCGGGTCCTTGGCATCGCTCGGACGTGTGCCTTTTTTCTCGACGAGGACCATCGAGGAGCATCCTGGATCATTTTGGCGAAAAAAACCACGCACGAAACCGGAAAAAAACACAGGGAATGGACGTCCGAGCGATGGCGAGTGGTCAGAGTTGTGCTTCTGGGTCGCAGTCCTGCCGCTCGGCTGCCGCCGCGGCTGGTTCGCGTGGCGCTGGGGGCGGTGCTCCTCCTCCTCCTCCTCCTCCTCCTCCTCCTCCTCCTCCTCCTCCTCCGCCTCCTCCTCCTCCTCCTATCATTCATTGCCCTCCTCCTACTGCTGTCTCTGTGCCGCTGCGCGGCTCTGCCTCTCGCCGCCCTGCTTCTTCTCCTCCTCGGACCAGTGCCTGCGTGGCCCGCACGCGCGCGCACCTCTCGAGGCAACCAGGCTGAGGAGGAACGAAGGAGCAGGACCACTATTCAGCGGACTCGGCTTGCGTTCACCAGCTTGGTCGTCGCGAGAGCCTACCGAATTACCCTCCTGCTCCCTGCTTCTTTCGGTTATGCGTTTGATTTCTGTCGTGGCACCGTTGTGTCTTCGAGGTGGAAGCGGTACCCGTTCTCTTGTTCGACACGCTGGTGTATACCACCCGTTGCACGTCGTCGAGCGCGCATTTCTTGAACATTGGACAAGCAACAGTTCGCGGGCGTACACCCACCCGTCGCCGTCCCCGGCCAATTAATGTTCCTTGAGTTTGTGCCGCAGCGCCTCAACGCCGTAAGCGGCGCCGTAGAAGTTCATTGCTAGAAGTCTCGTTGATGGTAGCCACAGTGGTTGCTAGAAGTCTCGTGAATCCAGAGCACAACGGCTCGAGCCACAACGCCGTCACGACGACATCGAAATCGCATTCGTCGTCGTCGCAGTCCCAGTTGTCGACGCCTTCGTTTTCGTCGGTGGGCCCCTCAAGACCCCTCTTGGCACCGTCTTGTCGCCCACATGGGTCTTTCTTGGGCCCCTCTTCGAGCCTTCGTGGGACCTCAGGAGAACTTCGAATGGGCTCGAGAGGGGTCCAAGTGGGCCCCCCGACAGTAGCATCCAAGAGGGCCCTCTGGATGCCAGTGTCGGGAAACTCTTTCGGACCCCTCTTGAGCACCTCTTGGGCCCGTCTTGGGGGGCCCTCATGTGCTTGTCATGACCCCCTCTTGGGGCTTCCCCGGGACCTCGGCGAAGTCCTGCACGGGCTCAAGAGAGGTGGCATCCAGAGGGCACTTCTGGGTGCCACCGTCGGGGGGGCAAGCTGGGGCCGAACGGGCGGATGTCCTACCACCTCCCGGCTCCTCCGTGGAGTGCTCCCGTGCCATGTCTGCCACACCGCGACGGGCACGGAGCTCGGAACAGCGACGGGCCCAGGACCCCCAAGCAGGCAGACCGCCCCTGAGACGTCCCCACAATTTGGGCGCGAGCGGGCAAAAGCCCAACTCCCCGGCTGCTCCCCTTTTGGCGTGCTCCAGCGCCACGCCTGCCACACCGCGACGAGCACGGAGCACCGAGCAAACGCGGGTCCAGGACCCCCAAACAGGCAGACCGCCCCTGAGACATACCCGCAGACTGGGGCGCGAACTGGCGCCTATCCCCTGGCGGCTCCTCCCTGGGGTCCACAAAATATCACGCCCGCTGCACCGCGACGAGCGGGGGGCTCTGACTGCCCCTCGCAGGGCATTCGAGCGGCAGCAGAGAAAGATGGAGAGGAGGAGGAGGAGGAGGAGGAGGAGGAGGAGGAGGAGGAGCAGGAGGAGGAGGAGGAGGAGGAGGAGGAGGAGGAGGAGGAGGAGGAGGGAGGAGGAGGAGGGGGAGGAGGAGGAGGAGGAGGGAGGGAGGAGAGGAGGAGGAGGAGGAGGAGGTCGAGGCACGGCCGTGTGCACCTCAGTGCGTTTTCTGACAGGAGGCCGTGGCCGTCCAGGCCAGCAATATGGCCGGCATTGGGGCGAGAGCACGATCCCTCAATACACGGTGGGGGGATATCGGTCAAAACTCAGGAGGGGGAAAAACACACACAGACACAATGAATCGTCGATCCCCAGGAAGATATGGGAAAATATGGGAAGTGGGGTGGAACGCAGAGAATCTGGGAAAATACGGGGCATAGCTTTATTTGTGTGTATTTATTTGTGTGTCCTGGGGCTCCATTTAAAAACGGCTGCCGCACCGGGCGGTCTAGGGCTTCTAGTCCCTTTTGTGGGACTCTCCTGCGGTCCCATGTCACCATTTAGAGCTGCCCAGCGAAGCGCCATTAGCGAAAACAAGGGAACCCCCAGCCACCAAACAGGCACGCCGCTTGAGACATCCCCACAATCTGGGTGCGAACGGGCAGATGTCCTACCCCCTGGCGGCTCCTCCTCGGGCACCTCGAATACCACGCCTGCCACATCGCGACGAGTATGGGTTTCTGACAAGTGATGGGCCTGGGTCACCAAATAGGCAAACCGCCTGAGACATCCCCACATCTGGGCGCGAGCGGGCAAATGCCCTACCTCCTGGCAGCTCCTCCTTGGGTCCTCAAATGCCACGCCTGCTACATCACGACGAGCATGGGGCTCTGACAAGAGATAGTTCTGGGCCACCAAATAGGCAAACCGCCTAAGACAAGTCTACAAATTGGAGACGAACGGGCAAATGTCCTACCCCCTGGCGGCGCATCCCTGGGATCTTCAAATGCCACGCCTGCTGCATCGCGATGAGCATGGGGCTCTGACAAGAGATGGGTCTGGGCCAGCCAGAAAATAGGCAAACCGCCTGACACATCCCCACAATCTGGGCGCGAACAGGCAAATGTTCTACCCCCTAGCGGCTCCTCCTTGGGCACCTCGAATACCACGCCTTGTACATCGCGACGAGTATGGGGCTCTGACAAGAGATGGGCCTGGGCCACCAAATAGGCAAACCGCCTGAGACATCCCCACATCTGGGCGCGAGCGGGCAAATGCCCTACATCCTGGCGGCTCCTCCTTGGGTCCTCAAATGCCACGCCTGCTACAGCGTCCTCCAATGCCACGGTTGTTAGAATGGTGTGTGTCTGAGTGAGTCTGAGTATGTGCGATATTGAGTATGAGTGGATTTGAGTGTGAGTGAGTCTGGGTACCAGCGTGTCTGAGTGACAGTAAGCTTAGTGTGAGTGGAAGAGTCATGGGGCGGGAAGGAGGCGGAGGCATGACATCAATAACAGGTGCCCATTCTTCAGGAAATGGGGAAAAGTAATGCAATTGTTTGAAATCTAGAGGCGGACAACGAGCACCAAGGAAGGCAGGGCAAGCATCTCATACAGTGACGAAGTGAAGACGCTGTGGAGTTGTTTGGGATGCGGCCTTGGAAATAAGAGAGCACACCGGGACACGATCAGGACAAGGAGCCGTTCAGCAGCAGAGGATGACGATTTGCGACCCCCACGAGGGGTGTAAAGTGAAGAGAAGCGACGGGACGGGAAGCATGGCAAGAACGTCACGAGCGAAAGGCAGTATGTATTAGTTGGTGCCCATTGTTGTTTGTTCGTTGGTAGGCGTTTCGTCGCTCTGGCGGATATATTCTGGCTAAGAAACTTGGAGGAGGGAGGAGGAGGAGGAGGAGGAGGAGGAGGAGGAGGAGGAGGAGGGAGCAGGATGTGCGGACGAGGAGGGAACAGCAGCAGGATGAGGGCAGGATCAGTGGCATCGGGAGGACGAAGGAGGAGACTGGTAGGAGGCGGAGCCAGGAGAAAGACAAGGAGATGGAGCAGGATCGAAGAGTGATGATGACGGAGGGGGAGCAGTGCGAGGTGGACGATGACGAGGGAGCACGAGGGAGAAGAAGAATTACGAGGACGATCGGGGAGAGGATAATGCGGCAGGAGTTCAAGGAGAAAGTTCGGCGGAAGAGGGAGGAGTAGGTGGACGAAGATGGAGATGAAGGTGGGGGTTGAAGTTTGAAGGGGGGAGCAGGGACGCGTAAGACAAGGAAGGGAGCACGAGGGAGGAGGGAATGGGAGGGGTGCGGAGGGAGGAGGAGGTGGGAGGGTGTGTCTGTCTGTCTCTCTCCCTCCCTCCCTCCCTATCTCTCTCTCTCTCTCTCTTTCTTTCTTTCTCTCTTTCTCTGTCTCTCTATCGCGCCCGCTGGCGGCAGGTCATCGTGCGCCCGCTTGTCGTGGGAGAGGCCGCCCCCCGCGCGAGCGCATCGGCAGAGATCCACGCCGCGGCTTCCCCCGTCCGTCGGCTGCTGCCGCCGATCCTGCTCCTCTGCCGCGTCTGCCCGCTGCTGCTCATCCTCCGCCTTGTGTCCTCCTGCTTCCTGCTTCCTCCTCCTCCTCCTCCTCCTCCTCCTCCTCCTCCTCCTCCTCCTCCTCCTCCTCCTCCTCCTCCTCCTCCTCCTCCGCGTCTGCCTCCGCGTCTGCCTCCTGCTGCTGCTGCCGCTGGTGCTGCTGTCCCTGCTCGCGCCCCGCATGTGTGGCCTCCTGCATCCTGCTGCTTCTCCTCCTCCGCCTCTGCCGGCTCAGCTCCTCTCCCCCCCTTTCCGCCTCCCCGCCTGATCCTCCGCCCTCTTCGTCCTCGGCAGCGACCTCCCCCTTGAGGGGTGGGCGTGGGAGGCCGGGGCGGTGGGTGTTCGGCAGGAAAGTCGGAGGGGCGAGAGGAGAGAGGAGGGTTGGGGAGGGAGGACGGGAGTGGGGAGAGGAGCAAGCTGGGCGCGTTCGCGGCATATCTGACGTCTCGGCGGCCTCTTAGAGCCTTCTTGGCCCGTCTTGGGGCCCTCTTGGGCCCAAAGAAGTCACGTGGAGAGGCGCGGGGGGGCCCAGGGGAAATGCGGGAAGCCCCAGGAAGTTTGAGAAGTTGGGATCCGAGCCCCTTCAAGACTAGTCAGGACTGAGGATTGACGCCCCAGTGATCCACGCAAAAGGACCTGAGGACACGCCCGCTCCATACCCAAAGGCACGGTGGCGGATGTACTTGCAGTTCGCTGTTAGAGGCGATTTTGTCCCGTCGGTAGGGGACAAGCCCCCAGGGCCAGCCCAGCCCCACTGTGGCCCACGGACAATAGTAGACTCCAGCATTTTGACAGGTGCTGCCAATCCGTGCGCTAGCCGCTTTTGTGACATGGCGACAGGGCTTGCTGGAACAAACTGAGCCAGCCTAGCCAGACCCAAGACCAGTCTCCACACTGGGATGCCAAGACAGTACAGCTTACGCATACCCCCCCCCACGCAGCGCCATATAGGCCAGCCAGTGCAGCCTTGGTTTAGCCTTATGTTCTATGCTCGAGCCCAGCCCACCAGGATGTACACCAACAAGCCCGACAGCACAACGTGTCAGTCATACAGACTCCGAGGCTTGCCTTAAGCCAGCCTGCGCTTCGATTTAGCCCCATTCATGTTGAGCCCGCTGACCGTCCCAGTCTGATAGATTCCTGCAACGCTGATCTCGCACCAGCCTGCTTGACCTTGACCTAAGGGATGGGGGGTGCATCAGAGGTCTTTAGTTGGGAGGCTGGGGGGGGGTAACACACTGCGTCTGCTTCAGCTCTACTAGGCTGCCTCGTTTACCCATGTGGTGCGAAAAAACATTAGAATACTCCAGTTGAACAGTTAGCAGGCACGCTTGGTTACTATCTCTTGTCCTTGCACGCGCATTTCGTCTTATGTTGTACGGTGCCGTCCCACAGTACGTAACGTTTCATATATTCTGTAGCGGCTCAATATCTCCCTGCTCCCACCAGTTCTCCGTTTAGTTATTCCCTTCCGCCCCATGCGCACCCCATGGTTCCCAAATTATTTCGGCACTACCTGCATCCGCACTAGCACCCGCCTGAATTCCCCAAAAAGTGTTCGCACCTAGGGACTCTTACTGCTGGTCTGAAGAAATGGGCCTGTGTGTCGGTCTGGCGGCTCCGTGCTGGCCGTCACCACCCCGTAAAACCGCTTCGTCGCCGCCCGTCATCTGGGCCTGTCTGTCGGTCTGGCGGCTATGTGGCCGCCGTCGCCGCCTCTTCGCCGCCCAAGATTGCTTAACATAGATTCTCCTTTCTATAAAGAAAATGGACTCTACCCCCCCCCCCCGGCGTTATCGCCCCCCCTTCCGGGTATTAAATCACATATGACTATGACCCCACGTCCATCCTAAATATGAGATCACAATGTCCCAGGCCAACCGGTATCGGCCCCCCTGAGGTTCCCTTGTAAAAAACACTATGCGGTGACATGTTTTGTTCTAACATAACACTTTTTCACGAATCCCTTGCACAAAATGGGACGATGTGCACACGCGCGCGTCGTCGCGCGCGCATGCCGAAATCCTTCAAAAACCTTCGGTGCCGGAAGGATTTCGCAATCCAGTTTCCAAAAAACATACCAAAACACAGGGTTTCGCAACACTGATTTGCTAAAAAAAATTACGCGCGAGCTCTTGCGAAATCATAAGAAAACCATTGGTTATTTAAGATTTTCACAACATGCTACCAAACGGACGTCGCGCGCGCATGTCGAAATCTGTCGAACGCCCTTGCGCGTGTGCCGTCCCGAGAATCCTCTGTAAAAAATGAGACGAAGTGCAGACGCGCGCGTCGTCGCGCGCGTACGCCGAAATCCTTCAAAACCCATCGATTTCGGAAGGAATTCAAAATCGTGCGCCCAAAAAACCTACAAAAACACAAGGTTTCGCAACACGGATTTTCAACAAAAGCGTGCGCGCGCGCTCTTGCGGCGTCGTTGTCGTCGTCGTCGTCGTCGTCGCCGTCCTCCCTCCTCCCGCGTCGTCGTCGTCGTCCCCTACGTCGTCCTGTGTCTTTCCTCGTGTTCGTCGTCGTCGTCCTCTTTGGCGTCGTGGTCGTTTCCGTCGTCGTTGTCGTCGTCGTCGTCCTTCCTCCTCCTCCCTCGTCGTCGTCGTCGTCCGTCGTCAGCGTCTCGTCGTCGTCCCTCCTATTCCGTCGTCGTCGTCGTTGTCGTCGTCGTCTCGTCGTCGTCTTCCCTCCTCCCTCGTCGTTGTCGTCGTCGGCGTCGCCGTCCTTCCTCCTTCATCGTCGCTCGCGTCATCGCCGTCCTCCCTCCTCCCTCGTCGTTGTCGTCGTTGTCGTCGTCGTGGTCCTCCCTCCTCCCTCGGCGTCGGCGTCGTCGTCGTCGTCGGTGCCGTCGTCGTCGTCGTTGTCGTCGTCGAAGTCGTTGGAGACGTCGTCGGTGTCGTCGTAGTCGGTGTCGGCGGCGCCGTCGTCGTCGATGTCGCTGCCGTCGTCGGCGTCGGTGTCGTGGCCAAGTGCCATGTGGTACCCACCGTCACGGTCTTGTCTTAAGAGGTCTTGCGACCAAGTTGCGGGTGGGAGGGTGGGATGTTTGCACGAGCAGTGGAGAGGACAGCTTCAAGACGGTCAAGATTAGTTGCCGCCTGTAGATTCTCCTTTCTAAAAAACTAATAGATTCTACCCCCCCCCCCCGGACTTATCGGTTACCCCGCGCGTGCTGTAAATCACATATGATTCTGACCACATGTCCATCCTAAATATGAATTCATACCATCCCAGCCAAGCCGGGTTCCCCCCCCCTGCGGTTCCCTTGTAAAAAACACTATGCGGTGACATGTTTTGTTCTAACATATCACTTTTTCACGAATCCCTTGCAAAAAATGGGACGAAGTGCACACGCGCGCGTCGTGGCGCGCGCATGCCGAAATCCTTAAAAAACCTTCGGTTCCGGAGAGATTTCAAAATTGAATTTCCAAAAAACATATAAAAACACATGGTTTCGCAACACTGATTCAAAAAAAAAACTCACGCGCGAGCTCTTGCGAAATCTGAAGAAAACCATAGGTTTTCCAAGATTTTCACAAAATGCTACCAAACGGGCTTCGCGCGCGCGCATGTCGAAATCTGTCGAACGCTCTTGCGCGTGTGCCGTCGCGAGAATCCTCTGCAAAAAATGGGACGAAGTGCAGACGCGCGCGTCGTCGCGGGCGTATGCCGAAATCCTTCAAAAACCTTCGGTTTCGGAAGAATGTCGAAATCGTGCGTCCAAAAAACCTACAAAAACACAAGGTTTCGCAACACGGGTTTTCAACAAAATTGTGCGCGCGCGCTCTTGCGTCGTCGTCGTCGTCGTCGTCCTCCCTCCTCCCTCGTCGTCGTCGTCGTCGTCGTCGCCGTCGTCGTCTTCTGTCTTTCCTCGTCGTCTTTGGCGTCGTCGTCGTTTCCGTCGTCGTTGTCGCCGTGGTCGTCCTTCCTCCCTCGTTGTCTTCGTCGGCGTCTCGTCGTTGTCCCTCCTATTTCGTCGCCGTCGTCGTCGTCGTCGTCGTCGTGGTCTTCACTCCTCCCTCGTCGTTATCCTCCTCCCTCGTCGTCGTCGTCCGTCGTCGGCGTCTCGTCGTCGTCCCTCCTATTTCGTCGCCGTCGTCGTCGTCTTCGTCGTCGTTGTCATCGTCGTCGTCTTCCCTCCTCCCTCGTCGTTGTCGTCGTCGGCGTCGCCGTCCTTCCTCCTTCTTCGTCGTTGGCGTCGTCGCCGTCTTCCCTCCTCCATCGTCGTTGTCGTCGTTGTCGCCGTCGTCGTTTTTTCTCCTCCCTCGTCGTCGTCTCCGTTGGCGACGTCGTCGTCGTCTTCGTCGTCGTCGTCGGCGTCGTTGTCGTCGTCGTCGGTGTCGTCGTCGTCGTTGTCGTCGTCGAAAACATTGGAGACGTCGTCGGTGTCGTCGCAGTCGCTGTCGGCGGCGCCGTCGTCGTCGATGTCGCTGTCGTCGTCGGCATCGGTGTCGTGGCCAAGTGCCACGCAGTACCTACCGTCACGGTCTTGTCTGAAGATGTCTTGCGACCAAGTTGCGGGTGGGAGGGTGGGATGTTTGCACGAGCAGTGGAGAGGACAGCTTCAAGACAGTCGAAGTGGGTTGCACCACATAGATTGCACCATAGAGATTGCACCGCATAGATTGCATCACATAGATTGCACAGTATGGACCGCACCATGTGGGTTGGACAACCTAGATTGCACAACATAGATTGCACAACGTAGAATGCACAGCATACAGTGTACTGCGTCCACTGCACCACTGAGACTGCACCACATAACTTGCACACCATAGATTGAACCTCATAGGTTGTACCACATGGATGTCACAACATATGTTGTACCGTTTCGAATGCACAACAGGTATTGCACCACATAGATCGCACCACATAGAACCACAGATATTGGGCCGCAAAGATTGCACCACATGGACTGCACAACATATGCTGCCCCACATAAAGTGCACAGCCTAGATTCTCTTTTCTATAAAGAAAATAGACTCTACCCCCCCCCCCTCGGCGTTATCGCCCCCCCTTTCGGGCATGTAAATCACATATGATTATGACCACATGTCCATCCTAAATATGAAATCAAAATGTCCCAGGCCAACCGGTATCGGCCCCCCTGAGGTTCCCTTGTAAAAAACATTATGCGGTGACATTTTTTGTTCTAACAAAACACTGTTTCACGAATCCCTTGCAAAAAATGGGACGAAGTGCACACGCGCGCGTCGTCGCTCGCGCATGCCTAAATTCCTTCAAAACCCTTCGGTGCCGGAAGGATTTCGCAATCGAGTTTCCAAAAAACATACAAAACACAGGGTTTCGTGACAACGCGCGAGCTCTTGCAAAATCATAAGAAAACCATTGGTTTTTCAACATTTCACAACATGCTACCAAACGGGCGTCGCGCGCGCGCATGTCGAAATCTGTCGAACGCCCTTGCGCGCGTGCCGTCGCGAGAATCCTCTGCAAAAAAATTGGACGAAGTGCAGACGCGCGCCGTCGCGCGCGTACGCCGAAATCCTTCAAAACCCATCGATTTCGGAAGGATTTCAAAATCGCGCGTCCAAAAAACCTACAAAACACAAGGCTTCGCAACACGGATTTTCAACAAAAGCGTGCGCGCGCACTCTTGCGGCGTCGTCGTCGTCGTCGTCGCCGTCCTCCCTCCTCCCGCGTCGTCGTCGTCGTCCTCTGTGGCGTCGTGGTCGTTTCCGTCGTCGTTGTCGCCGTGGTCGTCCTTCCTCCTCCTCCCTCGTCGTCGTCGTCGTCGTCCGTCGTCGGCGTCTCGTCGTCGTCCCTCCTATTTCGTCGCCGTCGTCGTCGTCGTTGTCGTCGTCGTCTCGTCGTCGTCTTCCCTCCTCCCTCGTCGTTGTCGTCGTCGGCGTCGCCGTCCTTCCTCCTTCTTCGTCGCTCGCGTCGTCGCCGTCCTCCCTCCTCCCTCATCGTTGTCGTCGTTGTCGCCGTCGTCGTCATCCCTCCTCCCTCGTCGTCGTCTTCGTTGGCGACGTCGTCGTCGTCTTCGTCGTCGTCGTCGGCGTCTTCGTCGTCGTCTTCGTCGTCGTCGACGTCAGCGTCGTCGTCGTCGCCGCCGTCGTCATCGTCGTCGTCGTCGGCCGTGTTGCTTCTCCGGCCTTCTTGGGGCGCTCTTGAGACGCCCCCGAGGGCTCCAAGACGACCCCGGAGCGATATCTGTGCTCGGTCCCGCATGGTTTTTGCAAACCAAGTTGCGGGTGGGTGGGTGGGACGATTGCGCGAGCAGTGGAGTTGACAATTTCAAGTTCGGCAAGTGATTGATTGCACCACATAGATTGCACCACATAGACTTCACATATCTATATATGTATGTGTGTTGCACAATCGAGGTTGCACCAGACATATTGCACAAGCACAACATAGATGGTTGGAGACACACCGGTTGGGTCCACGCCCGGTATCATGCGTTTTGTCACCTGCCCAGGTCGGCGCACTACTGTTTCCTGTCGAGGCACGGAACGAGCCATTTCGGATGCAACTCCTGGGAGGTCAAATTCTGATTTTGCCCTGGTCCGAAATCCGGCTTTATCCAGCTTAATCCCGCTTAATCCGGCTCCATCCCGCTTAATCCGAGGCCCATTCCGGCGCAACGGCTCCCCATTGGGGCTTAATCTTCCTGAATCTCTCCGGCGAAAGCCTCCCAGCAGTTGCCTCCTAAAGCCATGCCTTTATTCAGGAGGGTAAAAACACAGACACGATGAATCCTCGACTCCTCCGGAAATACGGGAAAGTATGGGAAGTGGGGGGGGAAGACAGACACCCTGAAAGTACAGGAAAACATGGGGAATCGTTTTTATCTGTGCGTATTGTTTTTTGGTGTGTCCTGGGGCCCCTTCATTCATGCCCGCCCACAGCAAGAGGGAGGACCGCCTCCCGGGACGGGCGAGCGCCGCCGCGCGCCAGGTGCTGGAGGCCTTGCAGGTGCCCTTCAGGGACGAGGCCGCAGGCCGACCCCTGGCCGCCCAGACGACGACGACGACGCCGACGACGCCGACGCCGACGAAGACGACGCCGACGCCCAGACGACGACGACGAAGACGACGACGACGGCGACGACGGCGACGACGCCGACGACGACGCCGACGACGCCGACGACGCCGACGACGACGACGCCGACGACGACGACGACGACGACGCCGGCGACGACGCCGACGACGACGCCGACGCCGACGATGACGACGACGGCGATGACGACGAAGACGACGCCGACGAAGAACATGACGACGACGACGACGACGACGACGGTCTTCGAATAATTTCCGACCCCGGGCCTGGCCGCCGGGTCGGTTTGGGAGGTCACCGCGGCGGCCTCGGCGGCCGCAATCGGCGGTTCTCCGGCGGGAGCGGCGCGCCCCCCTTCCCGGCTCTCCAGCCCTCCCCGGCGATGGCGGCGTGGCCCGCGATCACCAGCTGTATATCATCAGAGAGCTGTCAATGTATGCCCAAGATGGGCAATCATGTTTCTTTGGTTCGGGGTCGATGATCACGCAACCAGACGACGACGAAGGCGACGGCGGCGACGGCGGCGGGAACGGGGGCGGCGCCGGAGTCGGCGGCGGCGGCGGCGGCGGCCACGGCGACGGCGATGGCTGCGGCGGCGGCGGAAGTTGACTGCTGGCGAAAGCGACGGCGGCGAAGAGGACGGTGGCCGGCGATGCTGACG